AGCTTTTTTTTTTTGAAATGGAGTCTCACTGTGTCGCCCAGGCTAGAGTGCTGTGGTGTGATCTCGGCTCACTGCAACCTCCACCTCCTGGGTTAAGCGATTCTCCTGCCTCAGCCTCCCAGTTAGCTGGGATTACAGGCACGTGCCGCTACGCCCGGCTAATTTTTTAAAAAGTATTTTTAGTAGAGACTGGAGTTTCACCATGTTGGCCAGACTGGTCTCAAACTCCTGACCTTGAATGATCTGCCCATCTTGGCCTCCAAAAGTGCTGGGATTACAGGTGTGAGCCACTGCACCTGGCCACCCTTGCTTTTTTTTTGAGATGGAGTCTTGCTCTGTTGCCCAGGCTGGAGTGCAGTGGTGTGATCTTGGCTCACTGCAATCTCCGCCTCCCAGGTTCAAGCGATTCTCCTGCCTCAGCCTCCTGAGTAGGTGGAATTACAGGCGCCCACCACCACGTCCAGTTAATTTTTTTGTATTTTTAGTAGAGATAGGGTTTCACTATGTTGGCCATTGTGGTCTCTTAACTCCTGGCCTCAAGTGATCCGCCTGTCTCGGCCTCCCGAAGTGCTGGGATTACAAGTGTGAGCCACTGAGCTCAGCTTTCTCTGAACATACACTGTAACCTTTTGTGTTCTTTGGATATTTGGATGTTTCCAGAGTCAACTTGTGTCTTGTTCATTGATTGCAATCTGATGGTGAAAGAGTTTTCCTCCACTTTGTAAAAAATGCGTACCTTCTAATCAGATGATTAAATGATGATAATGACTTCCGTTTTATTGTAAGGTGAGAAATGTTTCCGAGTATTTCCCATTCACAACATACTCTTAGAGTCTTTCAGTTAATCATTGACTGTGTCTCGTGACTGAGTGAGTGAGGAGGGCAGGTGTCACAGGGATCTTGCAGATGAGGCCACCAAGGGTCAGAGAGGTTAAAGAGCCAGCATGGCATTAGTGCTGAGGGAAGAGTCACCAGGTGTCCTCTTCAGACACTGGGGACCACAGCAAGACTGGCTCTTCAGTGCTCTCTACCTGGGGAAAAATCAGTTAAATCTTTTATGTTATGTACTTTTATAAATGCCAAGTTGTTTAAAGTATTGTATGTTTTAAGATGTATTAATCTAGAAGCA